CTGGATTTGACTCCATTCACTGCAACTCTTTGGGCCCAGCCATCCAGCCAGTTATTTACCCAGCGAAGAGTGCACCCATCCAAGCCATGAACAGCCAGTTCCTCCAGGAGAATGCTGTGGGGAATGGTGTCAAAGGCTTTACTAAAGTCTCATTAGACAACATCCACAGCCTTTCCCTCCTCCACTAAGCAGGTCACCTGGTCATAGAAGGAGATCAGGTTAGTCAAGCACGACCTGCCTCTCATAAACCCATGCCGACTGGGTCTGATCACCTGGTTGTCCTGTACTTACTGTGTGATGGCACTCAAGATGATCTGCTCCATAACCTTCCCCGGCACTGAGGTCAGACTGACAGGCCTGTAGTTCCCCGGATCCTCCTTCTGGCCCTTCTTGTAGATGGGTGTCACATTTGCTAACTTCCAGTCAACTGGGACCTCCCCAGTTAGCCAGGACTGCTGATAAATGATGGAAAGCGGCTTGGTGAGCACTTCTGCCAGCTCCCTCAGCACCCTTGGGTGGATCCCATCCAGCCCTACAGACTTGTGTGTGTCCAAGTGGTGTAGCAGGTCACTCACCATTTCCCCTTGGATTATGGGGGCTTCATTCTGCTCCGCGTCCCTGTCTTCCAGCTCAGGGGGCTGGGTACCCAGAGAACAACTGGTCTTACTATTAAAGACTGAGGCAAAGAAGACATCAAGTACCTCAGCCTTTTCCTCATCCTTTGTCACTCTGTTCCCCCCACATCCAATAAAGGATGGAAATTCTCCTTAGCCCTCCTTTTGTTTCTAGTGTATTTATAGAAACATTTTTTATTCTCTTTTATGACAGTAGCCAGATCAAGTTCTAGCTGGGCTTTGGCCCTTCTAATTTTCACCCTGCATAACCTCACAACATCCTTGTGGTCCTCCTGAGCTGCCTGTCCCTTCTTCCAAAGATCATAAACTCTCATTTTTTTTCCCTGAGTTCCACGCAAAGCTCTCTGTACAGCCAGGCTGGCCACCTTCCACACCGGCTCACCTTTTGGCACATGGGTACAGCTCACTCCCACAGCTTTAAGATTTCCTTCTTCAGGAATGTCCAGCCTTCCTGGACTCCTCTGCCCTTCAGGACTGCCTCCCAAAAGACTCTATCAACCAGGCCCCCAAACAGGCCAAAGTCTGCCCTCCAGAAGTCCAAGGTAGCAGTTCTTCTGACCCCCATCCTTACTTCTCCAAGAATCAAAAACTCTATCATTTCGTGATCGCTGTGCTCAAGATGGCCTCCATCACATCACCCACAAGTCCTTCTCTGTTTGCAACAACAGGTCCAGCTGGGCACCTTCCCTAGCTGGCTCACTCACCAGCTGTGTCAGGAAGTTATCGTCCACATGTTCCAGGAACCTTCTAGATTGTTTCCTTTCTGCTGTATTGTATTTCCGGCAGACATCTGGTAAGTTGAAGTTCCCCACGAGAACAAGGGCTAGCGATTGTGAGACTTCTCTCAGCTGCTTATAGAATATTTGTCTGCCTCTTCATCCTGGTTGGGTGGTCTGTAACAGACTCCCGCCATGATATCTACCTTGCTGGCCTTCACCCTGATTCTCACCCATAAACACTATCATCACCATCGTTAAGCTCCAGACAATCAAAACACTCATTAACACACAGGGCTACCCCACTGCATCTCCTTCCTTGCCTATCCCTTCTGAAGAGTTTATAGCCATCCATTGCAGCACGCCAGTTGTGTGAGCCATCCCACCATGTTTCCATGTTTGCAACTATATAATAGTTTTCCAGCTGCACAATGGTGTGCTGCATGGATCTCCATCCCCTACCTCCACTGAGACAGCCGACCGAAGGACTTCACTAGCACACCGTCCCTCAAATACTGGCATGCTGCTCCCAGGTTTATCTCTAGTGAGCATGGTTTTATCCCCTTCCCCGTTCAAATGTAGCTTAAAGCTCTTTCAATAAGCCCTGCTAACTCCTGTGCAAAGATCCTTTTCCCCCATTGAGACAGGTGTACCCATCTGTTGGCAGCAGGCAGGTGTCATGTAAACCAACCCATGAACAAAAAACCCAAAATTCTGCCAGTGACACCAGGCTCAGAGCCAGGTATTGATCTGCTGGCTCTTCCTGTTTCTTCCCTCATCATTCCTGCAACTGGAAGGATAAAGGAGAACATTGCTTGTACTCCTGATCCCTTAACCAGTCGTCCCAAGGCCCTGAAGTCTCTCTGGATTGCCCTTGGACTTCTTGTTGCAACTTCATCTCTGCCTACCTGAAAAATCAATAAAGGATAATAATCTGAGGGCTGTACCAGGGTAGGAAGCTTTCTCTTCACATCTTTAACCTGGGCCCCAGGTAGCACTATTTAGTAATAACATACTAGTAGTATTATTTAGTAATAACAATGATGTGATAGCTATTAAGGCTACAGCGTGCTTGAATACTGCATAATGAATGACTGTTTTCCTTAGAGGAAAGTCAAATAGATTTACAAAGGCAATAGAGACAAAGTAGCATAAGCATGGTTTGTGCTGGATCTCTGCTCTCTTGGGGAATCCTGAAGGTGCAGTTTCTCCACTTCTTTATTTTAAAGACTGTCACTGTCTGTAGGAGAAGGATAGAAACATGTCCTTAATTCATGTTCTCTGGTAATAAACTTACTATCTTGTTTTAGGCACTGCATGTGTAGTGATGGTAAGAAGATAAGTGATATTAGTGATAATAGGAACGTAGACCCTCTTAAAAAGGTGCTGGACTCAAACTGGTGGTGAGTTTAATTAGTAGTCAATTACTTGCTTACTAAACCTATGTTCTTGAGTACAGTATTTTATATTTTTGTGAGTAGTTAGCCTATCTGGTGTAGCTGTAATGGTAAAATTCACATGGATGCCTTTGGTGGTTGTAGACCTTTGATGTGTACTTTAGCATTTGTCTGAGACATATTCTTATTAATCTGTCTGTGGATGCAAGCCATTGTGTCAAATTTGGAAATAAAGATTCTCCCTTCAAAAGCTAAGAACTGCCGGCTTCTGGGATCAAACTCAGCACAGGGCTTCTGTCTCCGTAAAGCCTGAATGTGACTAACACTGCTGTAATATTTACTGACAGCAAAATAAATTCACCAGAAGGCAGTCAGTTAAAAATAAAGAGTGATGTCATGCTCTGCCTGTCACTTCCTATCACTGAGGATGGCACAAGGCTGTTCTTTTTATGTATAAGGGAGCATCAGAAGTACAAGATTTTTATTCTGAAGAATCTTTCTTAGACCGTAGCAAGCAAAAGAACTGAGATTAAAACCTTTTTTTATATATATATATATATATATATATATAAAATTTGGTAAAACATCAGTAATCAAGAGCTTGGGTTTGTTTTGGGGTTTTTTTTTTGCATATAAAGTATCTGCAAGTGTGATTATTAAAAAATGAGATGCATTTTTCTTGAACCAGGAGACTGAATTTTTCCAAGGAATTTAAAAATAAGAAAAGAAATAAATCAGTTCTCAAGTAGCTCTTTAACAAAACAGCCCATGAGAAGAACACAGACTATCCACCTGAGTTCATGTATACCAGCAGCCTGTTCTCAACAGTAGACAGCATCAAACACATCAGAGAAAAACACTGTAACTTGTACAATATACTTGTGCCATAGGCTGCCACACTAGATCTCCTTTTAATCCTTTCACACCTCTAAGAGAGAAATTTCTAAAACTACTGTGCACCTGGAAAATAAGAAGTATATTTGTGACC